CCAAGCCGCGCGAGGCCGCGGAGTTCCGCGTGGTGAGGGTCAACCAGGTGTGGGAGAAGGCGCAGCGGGTGAGTGCGCGCAGAGCGCGGCCGGGGCTGCGGCGTCGGGGGAGCCCCGGATCCGCGTCGGGCCCTGCTCCGGGGCGGCGTGCAGAGGAGCAACCGCGGCGGGCGGGGGGCTGCGCTCAGCGCCTGGGAAGGGCGCCTTCCTTCAGGCCGAGAAAACAATCCCGGCTTTCCTGGGATTTCCCGGGATTGCTGGGTAAGCATTCCCCAACCTGAGCTATTGAACTAGAGGCAAGGCATCCCCCCTCGAGCAAAAGTCCTCCGGCAAGCCCGCGTTGGCACTAGTGACAGGGCTGAATCCAACCTTTGTAGAACCCCTCCGTGTTGTGCTCTGGAGTTGCATCCATCCTCCCAGCATGGAAACTGAAAAATAGTCCTTACCTCTCTGGGAGAAGGGTGGGATGAGATTACCAGAGTGTGGGTACTCATGCACCTCTGGCCATGACCTGGCAGGTGGAGAAGGCCAAACAATAGACAATTAAATATGATGATGGTACTTCCTTCCAATTTTTTAACTTCTATATATTTTTCCATACCTGCACCATCTGGAATTCAAATTTGAGATTCTAATCATCACCTACATTAAGTCTTACCCCAGGGTGTTCAATTACGAAAGGGATGTTTATCCATCAGGGTAAAGAACTATAGTAACTTTTATAAGTATGGGCCAGATATTAAAGATGCAACACCTGCTTGGCCTAAGTTTGTCACCATCTGAATTGCATGTTTGAATTAAATTAGCACCCAGCCCACGTTTTAGAAAGTGATATTTTTTCTGTCATGTTGGGGCAGGATTTGGAATGGGAGGAAAATTCCAAACTCAACCCTATGTTACTTTGAAGTGTTGGTCAAGTGCTGAACACACCTTCCCTGGGTTTGATGGTGGTGGTGGCTTTCATTAATCAGCAGTACTGAAATAAAGAACTCCTTGGTTTGGCATCTCGGACGGATGTTGCAATGCAGCATTGCGACGTGCTGTGTGATGAGCAGCCGTTCCGCGAGGCCTGAGCCCCTGCCCTGGGGTGACCAAGGGCAGGAAAGGCACTGCCTTCCTGCTCCCCAGGAGGTGGTTTTGATTTTTAACTTTTTTTTTTCCCCATAGCTTCCCTTTCCATGGCTGCGTGTTCCATATAAAATGTTACCAGGGTGATTTTATTAGCAGAGCTCCTCTTGTGCAGACCCTGACCCTATAGCTTGGGTCTGTGACAAATCAGTGCAGGTTTCAGAAAATACATCATCTCCTCTGCTGATCTCAGATAATCAGCTGGTGTAGTTCTCTCATCGCTTGTTCTCCGGGGCTAACACCCATCCCAAAGCAGCGGTTCCACAGTCTGGAGTGTGTCGTACCCCAAACCTTGCAGTGAAGCACATTTCCCTCCCCGCTACGCACACAGAAGCCAATTGTGCTGCTGTAGCTGATGATCGTAGCTGGGCCAGCAAACTCTGACGTGTTCCTGGTGCTCATGTCCAGCATTGCTACGTCCCGATCTTGGGTGTTAATTTCCAGGCAGCAAAAGGAATAAGTAACTAGGAGTTTTGTTGCTTAATGATTAAATTTAGCTTTTCACTTCTGCTTCTAGTCAGCTAGCCTGGTATGTGTCTGATGCTGTTAACAGTTAAGTGATGCTTTTTTTTAATCTGGTGTCATTCTGGCGTTGGTATGAGATGATCTCTAAGGGAGACAGCTCTAAAAGTGTATATTTTGATTAGCCTATGTAGTTACCTTTGTGGGATATAAATGGTACTGATAAGGAGCATCTAGGAAAAGGTTTAAAAGAATTTTTTAGTGTCTAAAGGGACAATTACTTGAACTTCATAGTAAATTAAAATCAGAGAAATATTATTGAAATTGGGAGAAATTTGAACAAAATATTTAGGATTTTTTTCCTTAAATAACAGTAGGCTTAATATAGTTACTTATTTTTTATTTAAAAAGTAAATTTATGTGCTCGGTTTTAATGACCAAATGCCTCTAAACTTTCCATTTAGAAGATCTAATACTCTTCTATTTAAACAAATACAAAGCTGCATATGTTTATGAAACTGCGCTATCTGCATAAGACTTCTGACAAACTGAGCTGTGTAATGTTTAATATATTAGTTCTTCTTTGATGATAAAGTCATACATTTAAAAGATTATAGTGTCCTATTTTTGCAGTCTTTAGGAGCTGAATTAATTGTTCATAGAATTATCGCAGATCTTTTCAGGATCTGTTCAGTCTAACAGCATATTAAGTCCATGCTTCTTTAATGCTAACAGAATAAGGAACTACTGACTTGGTCAGTCATTGCCTTTACAATAGCAAACTTTTTACTCAGTCTTCCTTCCGAATCATCAGTTTGCACATAAGGTGGCAGAGCCCTGGAACAGGCTGCCCGGAGAGGTTGTGGAGTCTCCTTCTCTGGAGATCTTCCAAACCCTCCTGGATGCCACCCTGTGCCACGTGCTCTAGGTGTCCCTGCTGGAGCAGGGGGGTGGACTAGATGATCTCGAGAGGTCCCTTCCAACCTTAAGCATTCTGTGATTCTGTCATTCTGTGATTAGTTGTCTCCATTCTTGTTTTCCCTGCAGGGTTAGAAGGAGATCCTCAAGAAAGCACATTCTGTGGCAATGGCACATTAATTTGGTTGTCGGTGTCTTTTGTGAAATATTGAAACTGGATAGTTTTAATTTTCAGGCCTGAAAGAAATTAAGTAGTAAACAAAGAAAGGGGAACAACTGCGTGGATTTGTTGGTGTTGTTGTTTGTTTGTTTTCCCATTCTTTTTGTTGTTTGGTTGTTTTCCCATTCTTTTTCATCCAAAATAAATAAAATTTGGTTACTTTTTTAAAGGTAGCCCTGTTAATAGTGGGTGGGAAAATACCTTTTAAATACTGCCTGAAGAAACTTCAGAGAGGGATACAACTTCTTAATCCATGCATTATTTCATGTTTTTCCAAGTAGTTGAGGACCTGAAAGGGAAGGCTATGGTGTTGCTGTCAGTTAATACTGATGTGCTGCGGGCATAACAACATTCATAGAATCATAGAATGCTTAAGGTTGGAAGGGACCTCTAGAGGTCATCTAGTCCAACCCCCCCTGCACACACAGGGTCACCTAGAGCACGTGGCACAGGACTGCGTCCAAGCGGGTTTTGAAGATCTCCAGAGAAGGAGACTCCACAACCTCTCTGGGCAGCCTGTTCCAGTGCATACATCGTTGATAAGAGATGTATTTATGCAATGACTCATTCCATAATGCTTTTAAATTCAGATAGATATAACCCATTCCAGTAAAAGAAAAAATGTTTTATGTGCTGTGCTGCCTTCTGAAGCAACTGCAGCAATGCTGCAGCAAGGGGTGACTCCATATAACTGAATACAAACCTTTTTCTGATCTCTTAGCTTCATCTCTCTGCTGTGAAACTGGCAGAGTTGCACAGTGACCTAAAAATACAAGAAAAGGATGAGCTAAGCTGGAAAAAACTGAAGGCTGAAGGGCTCGATGAAGATGGAGAGAAAGAAGCCAAACTTAGACGCAACTTAAATGGTAAGGTATATCTTTGTAAAAGAGGTTTAAACTTTCCATTGGATATATGTAGTTAGATGCCTGTGTTTGTGGGAGAATCATTAAATAACAGGTTGTGTTTCATGGCACTGAGCGCACTCAAGTTCTTTGGAGGTCAGCAGGGAGCAGCGAGATTCACAGAACGGTTGAGGTTGGAAGGGACTTGTAGAGATCATCCAGGTGGGTTTGGAAGATCTCCAAGAAGGAGCCTCCACAGCCTCTCCAGGCAGCCTGTTCCAGGGCTCTGTCAACGTCACAGTAAAGAAGTTCTTCCTCATATGGAGATATGAGGAAGTCAGGGATGGGGGCAGCTTCTCAACAGCCATAGATCCGTGGTTGATTTTAATGGTTCTGTATCTTCTACTCTTCCTACAGTCATTATGACTAAATATGGCATGAATGGAAAGAAGGACTCTCATCTACTTGATACCAACTACATTAAAGATGGAACAGAAAGTGATGCACTAGATGATCCAAGACTGGAAAAGTTGTGGAGCAAGGTGAGGGTGATTTCCAGAAAATGCAGCATGGGAAGTGTTTCTTCACTGAACTAATTATTATCTGTGCCTTCCAAGAGCTGCTTAACTTGGAATTGAATAGCTTGAACTGTCCGTTCGCAACTACTGGGCCTAGGTGCTGCAATGAGTAGCTCAGAGTGTTGTAGGCTGAGCACATCCCGTCTACATCCAGGTCTCTACATGTGGGTATTTCCTCTTGCAATGCAACCTGTCACATCAGCCTGTATGGCAGAGATGTTGGGCCCTCTGCTTACAAAAAGAGTTTCTCCTCAAATTTCACTGAACCAATGATTTCCCAGCTTGTGAATCTTAGGCTGCGTGGTAATACAGTTTTGTGGATTTCCTCTTTTTCTTACTTTTGTGTTTGGCCTTATTTCACAGAATGTTTTAAAATAACGGAGGGTTGTAACAATACACCAAACATGGTCTTCAAGACTTCTGTATTAGTGCTTAAAAATAGAAGATGAGTGGTCTGTTTGGCCAACAAAAACTGACAAAATCTTGGCCTGCAAAAATGAAATAATTCAGGTTCTTTAAACAAGTGGGCTGGTAAAAACAAAGCATTCTTGGAGCAGTGTGAAAGTAAAGCAGAGAAAAAGATATGCTGGTGTTTAAAATGTTTCCCTAACTAGATGCAGCCCTGGAAGGGACATCCTGTCATATGCTTTGGGGAACAGTAAAGTGCTTGCATCGCTTACAAATATTCCCTATGCAAAAAAAAAAAAAAAGGCTTGAGGCTTCATATGTACTAAAAACACAATTTTTATGATGTTTTGCAGCAAGTAGAGTTAGTCGCCAGGCACTGCAGGCAGTGTTGTAACTGTATGAGCAGTACTTCCCTAATTGCTAAAAGCTAGTCCAGTGAAAAGCATTTTACTGCAAAGTAAGTACATGGCAGTGATACTGTTCAGTTGACAAGATTTCTTGAATAAAGACTGCTTAATGTCAGGCTGCATCCCTGCAATCCCTCTTGCGCTTGTATATATTGCTGAGTGGCTCTTTTTTCTGTATCAGATTGTTTCTCACAGCATGTAAATGACGGAGGATTTTTCACTGAGTAGCTCATAGGAATTGCAGCTTTGTAAGTTGGAAGTACACCTTCTTTGACATGAGTGAAGCCACTGTGTCCTTCACTGTCTAAATCTTGTCCTTATATAAATGGACTTAAAACAAAAGATCTAAGGAAGAGTTGGACTTAAATCAGTTTCTAAACGTGGTGGGAAGTTGAAAGAAATAGTGGCAGCCGAGTGCATGTAACAGCACTCGGCCTGGGAAGCATAATGAGCTCATGTCTCTTTCAGGCCAAGACCTCTGGAAAGTTCTCTGATGAGGAGCTGGATAAGCTTTGGCGAGAGTTTAAGCATCACAAAGAAAAGATTCATGAATACAATATTCTGTTAGAGACCGTGAGCAGAACAGAAGGTATCTGAACTATTTTTTTGATGTTTCCAGATCAGTGCAGCTCTTTCTGTGCTTGTTACCTCCATTGTTTCCAAGTTCCTTTGAAAATGTTGAAGTCTGACTGCTACATTTCTCAGAACTGCTTGCAGTTGCTGACATTCCCAGATACCTGCTGGTTTTAGTTCTGCATTAGATGTCCAAAATCTTGCCAGTTAATGAACGTATTGCCAGTTCATTTTTCTGATTCTTGACCATGCTTTAAGCAGGGAAGATAGCATATTAGCAATGATGGCCATTTTAGTTTGCTAGAAGAAAAAATGCTGCAAAATAAGGTCCTAAGGTATGCAGCATGCCTACATACTTTATCTCACCAGCTGGGAGCCCAAAAGGATATGCCTGAAATCTTAGACTCTGAGCCCAAGGTATTAAAGCATTGACAGCTGAGTAAAGCTGAATGCAGGTTGCTGTATTAACCCTAGCTAAAATTTTTGTTGGAACCCAAGTATTCTAAGTTCATAGTCAGCATGATGCCTATTCTGTGCCATCCAGGCTGAAGTTGCTGGAAGTCATTTCAGCATCTAATGTCCTAATTTGTCCGTGACTGCTAAAAGCTCTTATCTGAAATGGCCAGGGAAGGAGGCCCAGGACTAGCCAGCCTTCCCATACCATTTCATTGGAATATTGCCTCCCTATGCAAATTAGAACAATTAACAATTATTAAAATCATGTCTGGCAGCCAGTAACAGTTTAAAAAAAGAAAAACAATTCCTTTCTGTCACCCTCCAGAAAATGGAGGAGCACTGATGTTACTTAGTAGTTACCTGAAAAGGACTTACTGCTGCTTAGAATGTGGCATTAGTGCTTTATTTACACTAACCCTAGTGCTGAGAACTGAGTATATATTGTTAATTCCCAATGGGGGAAATTTTGGGGGCTTTTGACCTATCAGGATTTGGCTCACAATCAATAAAACTTTTCTCTTCTAACAGATATTCACAAGAATGTTATCAACCCATCTGAAGAGAACCTGGTGAAAGAAGAAATCTTGCACAGCAAACACAGAGAACTCAAAGAGAAACTAAGAAGCATCAATCAGGGGTTTGAGCGTTTGCGTAAAGTCAGTCACCAGGGATATGACACAAACAGTGGTATGATAATGCTGTTTTTCTTCTCTTTTTAATATCAATTTCATATAAAAACTCTGTGGGCAATTAATAAGGTATAATTTCAGTACATAGTGTTGCCACATTGTCAACAAAGGGTTGAAGAGATCCAGCCAACCTGCTGTATTAGAAGTCTAATGCAAGAACAGAATCAGCCATCCTGCAAAGACAATAGTTAAGACAACTATCTATCTCATGCCCAAGTGAGAAGGGATATTATTTCATCTTACCCAGAGAAGTAAATAAGTAAGACAACATATGCAGCAAATAACTCCAGTCATCAGTTTCTGTGATGTTTTGCTTTTTAAAAAAGAATTACTACAGTGCTAAAGTTTTCAGTTAAGAACTTGGATTTTCCTTCTCTCTTAATCTAAATAGACCAGTTAGTAAAGCAATGTTTAGTACTTCCATTTGTGTATGCAAAGGCATTCTCTTCTGTAAAAAGTGGACATGAAAACATTGTGTCCAGATTTTCATTCAGTGATATGTGTCTGTTTAGAGTTTGAGGAACCAAGAGTGATTGACTTGTGGGACATGGCCAAATCAGCCAACTTTACTGAGAAAGAACTTGAATCTTTTCGGGTAAGTAAAATTCCAGTGAGATTCCTTATGGAAAGGACATTTTCCTGCATAAAGAAGCACACTCTGCCTATGTTATTCCTATATATCATTTTTCTTCTATTTCTCTTCAGACAAAAATAAATGAGACACATGTGGATCTTAATTTTTCAGATATGCAGACATGGATGTATCTAGTATGAAAGGTTCTATTATACTCATCAAAATGAAAGTATTGAAACCTGTGAAAGTAGGAGTTCCATATTCTAAATCTTTCAAGGGTCAGGCCCTGTTTGTTTGTAGTGTAACAGATCTCCCCATCTTATCCGACGTCTCAAATAATTACTGCTTTGGGAAGCAGTGAACACTAGAAACCCAAGAGTTTTCCTCTCCTGCCTGCCTCTTGTACCGTTAGCCTTACTAGGATTTTTTTTTAATTATTGTCTTGAAGCAAGAGGAATTTGTCAGCAACCTGGACTGAAACACACTAGCAAACAAAACAAAGTGGACCCTGTCAAACAGGGGGTTCCCTGTAAAATTCGTTTGGGTTTTTCTGAGTGTAATGCACAGAAATGGCTGTAAGTCTGTGTGCTCTTCACTGAGACATGGAGAGCTTGAAGGGACTGCGTATCTGGAAGTAGCAAAACCAAGAGCATGCTTTGGTGGGTAAAAACTTTTCCGGTTCTCCTGTCTGTCTTGCAGCTTACTGGATTATCTAAACATCATCTTAATCATATCCTGAACATGACAGTTAGTCTGGCTGCTTTTCAGATATTCTGCATTAAGAGATCTTTTTGGTTTGTTTGTTATTTAACTCATCCTATTTCAGGTCGTGGAGAACAAACCTAGAAAATCATAGAATGCTTAGGGTTGGAAGGGACCTCTAGAGATCATCTAGTTCAACCCCCTGCACACGCAGGGACACCTAGAGCACGTGGCACAGGACTGCGTCCAAGCGGGTTT